TTAAACCGGATTTGAATCCGAATAGCGATAAAAAAAAAAATTCTCTAAACTTGTTCTCCTTTCACCTCCTTAAAAAAAAAAAAAACCACTTACCAAAAAAATGTTTCATGAAAATCCGTACCCAACAGGACTGAGCCAAATAGATGAAGAATCTTAATCAAAAACGCAACACTGGAGATTCAAACAGAGAGCATTCATACTATAGCCCCGTATGAGCCAACAATGCAACCTATTTTTATTTTCATTTATTTATTTTTTTAACTTTTTTTTTGGGGGGGGGGTTGACACTAATTTGTGTACCTTTAATCTAAATGTTTTCTGAGCGTGTGTAAATCCCTTGTGTTGTCATGCATTGTTTACTTGATAACTGGAACGTCGTCTTTGGGTTCTCTTTAAAAAATATAAAATGCTACAGCTGGAAAGTTTCCCTGCGATTGAACAAGCTTCAGAAATATTTTCGTTAGGCCAATTTTTTCCGTACCATATCGTCAAAAATGAACTGAGAATAAACTGAATCAAAGCAATAAGAAGGTGAATGTCGATCATTTCGTTCATAAACGAAGAGCCTCATCAATTTTGCAGCAATTATGGCACGTGTATTATCAGTTGTTGTCTTTTCTTGAACCTTTATTCCCCGAGTAAGCCCAGATCGTGCCAATTTCACAAAGGCCTCAAATCACAACGAATTATTTTCAGTCTATTATTGGATCAATAATGAGAAAAGAGTGTATTTTTCTGGTTTCACTTATAGATTATGACAAAAGAATGCCTTTGGTATTTTTCTCCCCTTCTATCTTGTACTTGTTTTGAAATTGTCATCGCGTTTAAAAACCTATAACCATTGTATATAATACAAGTAAGACATTTTTACAGTTATCTAGCTGTTTTGAATGTCACAGAAGAATGAAAGGGGGAGCACAATGCTTTTTTTTTACCTTTTTCATTCAACTTTGCGGAAGAATACAGGATCTAGGAATAAATGGCCAGCCCAGTGTTCCTTTAACATTATTTTAGTATGTAGTAATCTATACAATAATTCGGTTCATTCTCTACATGTACAAATCCGTTTGTTACAAGTAGTTTTGTAAAAGAAAATAAAGTAATCTGACTGCAAAATCAAGATAGAGATAAGGCCAGAGATGCTTCCCTTTCCCCCCGTAGCTTAGGCTGTTTTAAACACACCTTGCGGAATGGAAATAGACCGAAATCATATTTTACTTTTTGTATGCAGAGATAGTATTGATTACGATGGGGGCAACTTTTAGCAAGTCTTGATACTTAATCTCTATAAACTGTGTTGTTTGTATTTCAATGTCTCTGCTATTAATTTTTACTGTCAACATTCTCTTTCCTGATGTTCCACAGATATTTGGTCTGATCCTGACGTACGCGGTGATTTTGCTACAGTTCAATTGAACAAACCCGTAATTTCGATCAATGCACAACAATGCCAAGCAGGTCCACCTCTTCTCTAAGACTTTGGGTTGCAGTTTACGGCGAGTTGGCAAGATAACAATCACGAATATTATTATGATCTGCAGGAACAGACATGAACTATTGTAACTGAGAAGACGCAAAAAAGGTCACCAACCCCAACGTGTCATCTTTAACCCCGCCAAATGAAAAAAAGGAGTCTTTATTTTTTATACAAGCACACTCGGGTGGAAACCGGTGGCCATACCTGTTGTTTCTTCATACGAGTTTCTCAATTTATTCGTGCTGGCAGTAACTATAGTCAAGGGCTGTGACAGCAAACCAGTCTAACAAAAGCACGTCAAAAGGAGTTGGAACTCGGACCATCTGCAGTGGCACGAGTCAAAAGCAGCACTGGGGAAAAGCAACTGTAGTCACAAACTGGAAATTATGAGGGTGTCAATTTTAAAAGCTTGTGGACTCACAACTTTATATTTGTTTGACTGGTGGTGTATTGTTAAGTGTTGTTGAATGGGAAATCTAACAACAATAATCAACCAAAAGCTGAACAGAAATACTGTTTTGAGTCAACAATCGTTCAAAATTGGCACCTTCACTATTTACTGTTTGTGACTACAGTCATTTTTACCTTGTAGTCTTCAAGTTGGTGGAAGAAGCAGGACAGTATGGGAGGTTGAGGATCTTCAGCACCTGTGACAATGATGGTGATCAATTTAAATGTTCATGACAACTTTCTGCCATTACGAAAACCAGAAATGACTTCCCCTGGAGGAATAAGTCGTTTTGTTGGTTTGGTTTGGTTTCAAACTAAAGAGGGCACCACTTTGTGCGTCCTTTTCTGTGATTTCCTGACTACAGACATGCAAATAACGTCCCGTGCAGAAAAATCAACAAAAGAACTAATGTGAATGCTGGTCGCACAATGCAGAGCTTTATTTTTGGAGCAGGAAGGAGGGCATCTCGCTCAGAGACGCGCAACGTTATGTACTACAGACCACTCACATAGCTTGAAATTGTCGTTCATTCACTCAGTCCTCGGATACTTACGTCACCCTTTAGTCCAATAAACATCTTATTTGTTGTCATTGAAGATATTGTTTTTATCAGATCCATTTGTATTATTGTTTCTTCTACTACTACTACTACTACTACTACTACTACTACTACTACTACTACTACTACT